CTCACTTGGTAGACCAGGCTGGCCTCGAACTCACAGAGATCCGCCTGCCTCTGCCTCCCGAGTGCTGGGATTAAAGGCGTGCGCCACCACCGCCCGGCCTTCATCTTTGCTTTTGTTTAGGCAGAGTCTCGGGTGTCCCAGGTGTGCACCACTACAGCCGCTCACGGGGTGCCGGGGATGGAACCCCAGTCTCATACACACTGGTAAGCCTTCTGCCAATGGGGCCCAGCCCCTCAACTTTTTGCTGTTTGCCTTTCTGAGTCAGGGACTCCATATGCAGCCTAGGCCGGCCAACAGGCTGGTCTCTCCACTCTTAACCCAATTCCCATCTTTCCCCACCTCAGTCATGAGGGCTCATGTGGACCCTCACACCACCCTTTTGACCAGTACCAAGTTTATCAGTTTAGCCCATCATTCAGTCAGTCCCCACCGCCCGTGGAGCCATCCTCTGCTTCATCCCACACACCCAGGGCCAGCGCAGCCCACAGCCTCGGCCCTACCTTCTCCTGTCCCACCACACAGCGGCCAGGCCTAGGCCCTGCAGGGCAGCCATGATCACGTTGACATCATAGTTGCCGGTGCCCAGGAGGCTGCGATGAGGGTTCAGCCGGGAGTCTGGGGCTAGCCTGGGGTGAGGGGGCAGAGTCAAGGCTGGGAATCCCGGACAGGCTTCCATCTTCCCACGCAACAGGAGAGGTCCAGGGCCTGGCCTTTGACTCTCCTCTCTCTTCAAGCCCCACACAGCTTATCGGGCCCCAACTCCTGCTTTCTCCTCCACCCCCAACACCTGTGCGGTCAGCCTGGCCAAAGCTTTTGTCTTTTTCCACTCAGAAGCCCTTCCCAGACTCGGCTCCCCCTCCAGCCCACCCCCAGAAGCCTTGGGCGTCTTGCCCCTCTCATGCTCCCACCTCTTCCACGACTCTCGAGTGCCCTGGACAAAGTCCCCGACCTCCCATCCACCCTTCTAGCCACTCACAGCCTCCTTCCAGACCAGCCTCAGATGTCATTTCTTCTGGGAAAGGAGCCATTAGACCCCCAGACTGGTCTCAGAACCCCCTCGAATGACAGTGTGACTCATGTCACCATATCTGAACACAGAGTGCCTCTCTCATTTGGTAATACCCTGCCCTACTCTGTTCACAGCCCTCCTGGTGCCCCATCTCCCCAGGGCAGACTCCCACCTCCTCCAGTGACAGGTGGGCCATGCACAGCCTTAGCACCAGCTCTTACCAGCCACCTATCCCCCGTCCCGTGTGTCCAAGCCTTCTTTCTAGCTCCCTCCAGATGTGGCCCTGCTCTTCTGAAGAGCTGGACCCTTGGAGACCAGTGACATGGAGGGAGACACCTGTGTTTCCTCTCTGTGTCCCCAGCCCTCTCGTCATTACATCTGCCTCAGCTCCAGCTGTTCAGCATGGCCCTGGCATGAAAGAGCTGCTGGCAGGGAGAGGAACAGGAATCTAAAGAGGAATCTCTTCTAACATAAACCTACAGTTTGGGGATGCCGGATCAGCAGCAGTGGGAAGCCGTACGGACTGCCTCTGGACGTGGACACCAACTGCAGTTGGGGGTGTCTGCGTGTCTGTGGAAGGACTGTGGGGCTAGAGGTGGGACTAGGAAGAGAGTTTCTTAAGAAAGTGATGGCTGAAATTCTGAGGGGCACCCGGGTGACCAAGAAGAAATAAAGAATGCCTTGTGGAATATGGGAACAGCCTGTGTAAAAGCTCAGAGGCACCACAGTGGGGCCGTTTGGGGAGAGCAGTGAAGGAAGACAGCAGAAAGGCAAGGACCCAAAGCCTTGGAGTTCAGGCTGAAGGACCTGGGCTGTTCTCTGGTGCTGGGGACCACAGAGTGGTAGACGCAGTGGGGCGCAGGCAGCCCTGGGGCTATGTGTAGGATGGACAGGAGGAGGAAAACAGCTAGGAGGCTGTGACAGGGTTCAGGTAAGAGAGGTCGAGGCCAAAGCCGGGGCCGAGGCTGTGGGAAGCGGCAGGTGGAGGAGCAGGCAACAGCTTCGGGATCTGAGCCCTGGCCCTGCTGGCGCCCCAGACAGGCTCCCGTGCCTCTGAGCCCTGCTCTTCCAGGGCCAGGTCCGACGGCAATCACCTCTTGCAAATTTCGTCTGCAGCCTCCTGGCTGAAGAGCTGCTGTTGGAGGACGTTGTTGAGAGCGTGGACGGCGCACAGCTCTAGCCGCTGCCGCTCGTGGTACACTGAGGGTGGGCTCGGCCGCGCTTCCGGGGCCTGAGACATGCCCTCCTCGGCTCCTGCTGGGGGTGGGACAAAGAGACCGCGTTAGGGACCCAGGATCTCGGTCATCTGGGTCTCCAGACTCCTGTGTCCCTGGGCAATGGCCACTGAGATGGGCACCGAGACCAGCTTGGGAGGATATGGGGTCCCTGACCCTGCTACCTAGGTTGTTTCCGGAGCAAAGAGGCATCTTCATGTCCCAGTCTGCTCACCTGGCAATAGAGACCCACCCCCACTACATGTCTCTAAGCAAAACGGTGACCTAGCAACGGAGTGTCGTCCCTTCTGTCCCTAGGAAAAATACCTTTTTGGTTCCCAAGCAACCCACCCCCTTGGTAACCCGGTCCGTTTTCTAATCACCTAGCAATGGAGGACTCCTCCTTCACCGTCTCTGGGTAACAGGGTCTCTTCTGGTCGCCTAGCAACGGAAGACTTCCCCTCGTCAATAACCAGGGTTCTCTCCTCCCGTCACCTGGCAACAAGGCCCTGTCCTAGTCACTAAGCAACAGGAGCCCCCCCTGTCACCTGGCAACCAGGCACGCTCCCACCCGCCTCCATACGGCCCTCGCCCGGCCCTCACCCCTTCGGCCTCTCTGCTCGCTGGGACCAGCCGCTTTCGCATTCCTTGGGCAGCGGCCGGGTGGTACCACGCTGACTGGGCAGGAGGGACGAACTACAGCTCCCGGAGACCTGCGCGCTCAGGACTGCGATTCCCGAAGGCCTCCATGGGGCGCCTATATTGGACGCGCAATCCGGAAGTCCTCCGGGGGACGCTCTGCAGCGCGGAAACTACATTTCCCATCGGCCCACGCAGCCAGCTATCGTGCAACCCCCAGGACTCCCTGCTGCCTAGAGGTTTCTGGGAAATAGAGTAACTGGGGCTCTCGCGATAGCTTCCAGGAAGCTGGTGTGTGTGTGTGTGCTCACGCGCTCGCAGCTATGGCGTCATACCCAGTGCGTTGGAGCGTGATGTAATAGACTTAGGGGACAAGGAACCAAAGAGGCCAAAGAGAACAGCGGGCGCAATTCTGATGTTTACTGAGACACATAGTGTTCGAAGCGACAGCAGGGGCAGTGGGGGCGAAGGCTTGTCAGCAGAGGTGGATCCCAGGTCTGCAGGGGAGCTGGCAGCAGCCTGTGGGGAGAACGAAAGCCTCGGGTGACGACACAGACGTGCAGGCGGCCGTGGCGGCCGTGGGCTCTGAAATGGTGGTGTGGTACAACCCAAGAGGATCCTCAGATGCGGGGTGTCAATGGAGGGACTAGAGGAGGACTGAGACTCGGAGAGAAAGGTCGTCAAGCCTGGGAGTGAAAACTAAGGGTGGGCCCAGACAGAAAGCCGGGGCGGGACACCCGGCATGTGGGTTGTGCAGAGCACAGAGGCCGAGGGACCTTGGAGGGGTCTGGCCGCACCCAGTAGGCTGTGCCAGAAGGCCGTGACGGTGGCAGAGCCGGTGACCGCGCCAGGCTGGGCTGGGTTCTCTCTGTGGGTGTGCACGGCAAAGCTGCAGCCCGTGGGCCCGGGAGGGCCTTTCAGCTCCACATCCACCACGTGCATGTCTGTGAGGCTGCAGCCAGCAGAGAGGAGCAGTCAGTCCATCTGGCCTGGACACAGCCGGGCCACCTACTTCCTTGGCTCACCTAAGGTCAGCCACAAGCACCCCGATGACACGGTCGAAGCCTAGACTGGGGGCAGCCAGGGCAGCGGCTGCCATGGTGTTAGAGTTTCGGGGGGCCAAGGGGCAGAGCCCACGCACGGGGCCCTCGTAGAGCACAGTGCGGGGCCCACTGGTGTGTACTGCAGCCAGGGATCCCTCCAGCCGGAAGCCATCGGGATGTGTGGCCATGGTGACTCGAAGGCTCTAGAAGCAATAGCAGGGTCAGGAGGCTGGACTCTTACATGTTCCCCCAGGTGCAGCCCAGATGGTTCTCACCTGGAGGCCACCGGCTGCATCCAATCTCCGGATGTCTTCAGCCCCCCACAGGGCTCCCCGGGCCACAAACACAGTGTGGCCCCAGTGGTTTGAGGCCTCCATGAGCCGTTGCTCTGTGGTCTGGTCAGCCAGAGCTGAGGGAGACCCCACCTTGGGTGATGGATGGTAGAGAGAGGGAAGGCCAAGACATGGATCACTGCTGTAGGGCGGGGTGCAGCCAACGTAGAAAAGGACTTAGTGAGGGGCGAGGGGGCTCACCAGGAGGTTAGCATGGCGCAGGATTTGTACCCCTGATTCGTGGATTATATTTGGATGGGCCACTTCTACCACAAGGTCAGGGTGCCTGGAAGACATGGAGGAGGGCCTTGGAGAAGAATCAGGTCTCCTCAGGGTTTGGAGGGATGCCACTCCTTACCCTGGCTAGGGAGGGAAATGGGACGGTGGGTGTATTCTCGTTTATGTGCACTAAGGCACAGGGAGGCAGGCAGGAGCTCTGGGCAGGCGTCCATTCTGCTGTGAGCCACTGACCTTTCCCCAAGGGCAGTAAGGTCTCGGAGCTGCAGGGCAGGGGGCACGCTCCCTGCCATTCGTCCAGGGTCCCGGTTCCATACAAACACAAGTTCCAGGCCCAGTTCTGATCCCTGCGCCAGAAGGCGGGACACAAGGGATTGTCCTGCAGAGAAGGGGAGGCTAGAGATCCAACCAAAGAACAGAGACCACTCCCCTGCTCAGGGAGATGGAGAGAGGGATGGAGAGAGACACAGAGAAGGGTGGGCAGACATGGGGCAGTGAGACAGAATTCCCGAGAGAGAGGGACAGAGGCAGAGAGAGAGGGACAGAGGCCGAGAGAGAGGGACAGAGGCAGAGAGTGAGAGAGAGAGAGAGACAGAGACAGAGAGACAGAGAGAGAGACAGAGAGAGAGAGAGAGAACCAAAGAGAGGAGAGAGGGACAGAGGTGTAGAGAGACAAAGAGACAGAGAGGGGGGGACCTAGAGAGAGAGGAGAGAGACCCAGAAGGAGGAAGAGATAGACAGGCAGACAGAATACATAGAAAGCCAAAGAGGAGAGACAGGCCCAGACACACAGAGAGAGACAGAAAGAGGGACAGAGACCCAGACAGAAGAGAGACAAGATGAGACCAAGAGGAAAGTCAGAGAGAGAGACTGAGATACCCCAGAGATCCCGAGAGAAGACAGAGACCTAGAGAGAGGCAGACACCCAGTCTCTCTCTCTCTCTCTCTCTCTCTCTCTCTCTCTCTCTCTCTCTCTCTCTCTCTCTCTC